TAGTGATTAATAAATTTATAAAGTAATTTTCAAAATTTTATTTCCAAGATTTCTGAATTGATTTATTTAATTTTAAAATTAATGTTAATTCAAAACACAAGATCTAGCCTATTTCAATCTACCACTACACTCTTATCAACCAATCACTCATTTCTCCACTATTTCTCCCCTCAACCAAAGTCACATGCAAGCATCACACTTAGAATCTAAGATGCAAGTGAAAATGTTATTGCATCAAATAAGTACAACATACCGCCTGTACAACTCCCTTGCAGACCGGAGGCCATCTTTTTGCACAACATAATTTACAATGGTAGAAGAAAGAGAAATTCCATCATCCTTTCCACCATTGGCAGCCAATAAAGCCACCGAAGTATCCAGCAGTTTGTCAAAAAACTTTTTATGGCTTGAAAAATGCTTGAGTGCCTGCACATTCATTCATTCACCATGAAAAAAGGAATTTGGTATTCTAAAGGTCCATACAATGCCTTTAAAATGATAAAGACTAAAGAGTTAGAAAAATGCACACACAAGGGCTTGTGAAGTGTCCCATGTAACAATAATGCTCTATTGGGTTTACAAGAGTAATACTCCCCTTATCCCCACATGAATAACACAATTTCCTTTTAAATAAATTACATTTTCTCTTTTCCTTAAAAAGAAAAGAATAAGTGACTAACAACAATTCTCGCTCCTCTAAACAAGTGTTATCCACACAGTTTTTACTATTCAACAACTTTCTTAAACTCAGTGAAGTCAAACTATGTCATTCTTTGGAGACGGAGGGAGTATTGTTTGGTATGAGAGAGATTGGAAAGTTAAATGTTAAAACGTCACTTTTAAGGGTAGAGAGTGATAAATAAATAAAAACCCCACTTCTATCATTCATTTCCACTTCAGGGGAAGAAATGAAATTAAAGTGGGTCCCACACTTATTAAATATTTGCTTTCAATTTCCCTCATAAAGTCATACACAAACAATGGATATACGCTCCCTCTACTGTTTTCCTCTTTTCACTCTTTCTTTCTTCTCAATTTCCCCTAAAGCATGCAAAGGCTAAAGGCCAAATTAACATACAGAAACCTGAGAGGATTATGCATACCATAAGCCACAATGTTTCTGCCTTTGATATAGGAACTTTCATTAGAGCCTTTTTAAAGAGTTCAAACAATGATGACTTCTCCAAAGAGGTCCCTTTTCTGGTGCACAAAGCTTCCATGGAAAACCGTAACACCCACAAATCCACGGTTTCAGTGAATTTTCCTGAGCAGAACCTTTCTACCAGTGCCTTGGCTTCAACTTGCTTCCCCAATTGTAATAGGAAAGAAACGTGTTGACAAGCGAGATTTTCAGTGATGCACCCTATGCTTTCAGCCTTCTCATACACCGTCAACAGGCGTGAAATGGGATCAGCAGTATGGCCATTGGTACTTAATATATTGGAAGATTTGTCAGCTCCATCTCCATTTGAAATGACTTCCTTCAAGAACTTGGCATAAAGATCAAACATTGTGGCTGAAGGCACAGCTACCAAACCCTCATCATATACCTAACGTATTTCATACAAGCAAGTAGATAAGTCTATGAACAAAATAAACTGCCTGGCAAACATGGAAAGAAATGACAAAAAGACGACAAATACCTGTTATTAGAAGGAAATATCTATAGAAAGTTGGGGGGAAAAGAGAGGGGATTTTCCAAGTGAGCAACCATGGGAAACAGATTGAAAAATACAGTAAAAGTACTGTCCATGTCCAAAAAAGTCATGTATGCTTCAGGAACTTATTTTGTTCCAAAAGTCAGGCTATGTAAGATTGCTAATTTGCTACAAGCAAACCAGCAATTCGTTGTAGTCAATGACTCCCTTTGTTAAAAACAGAAAAAGTTTTAGGGGCATAATTTGTACAAGTTTGCACCTTGATTCAGTTGCCTACAATAAAAAATCTATGTTATTGTAAAGAAACCCCCCTAAGGGAGTCAATGACTAGGTATTCAACATATATTGCTATAAGAGTGCCCATGGTAGAGCTATCATACCTCAACTGCTCTTCTTAAGTGATCAGTACTCATAGCTTCTGCAATTTTCACTGTGTTTCTAAGACCAAACATTTCCAGTCTCGCCAGCCAGTCCCAATATTCTGGTTGTCTACAGAAGTCCCTTTTCAAATCATCAAGTATCTTCTTTTTCATATCTTCTGAGTGACCTATGTCTATTGCTTCCAGTATCTCAAGAAACTGCACTCTCAGACTGAAACTAGAAGGGATGGCTTCAATTGCACTGCTGTAAACAGTTTGAAGAATGGCTAAAGCGTTCTCTTTTAATAAATCAACTTTGTCATTTTGCTCCACATCTTGAGGATTCAATGTTTTTTCTTCCTCACCGTTTGAATCAATAGACATAAACAATTCTTTGTTCTCCTCTCTCCATTGCTTCTCTTCTACTGTTTTATGATCCTGAGTCAGTGTGCCAACATCTTCCCCTAGCGCTACCTTCCGAGCCTTTAATTTATTAAGGTATGTGAGCTCCATGCGGAGATACTCAACCCATAGATCCTCAGAAGTCGGGCATGCTCTAAAACCACGTTGCATCAAGGCACGAGCAGCTGAAGCATTTAGGTTTTGGTCGAATTCCCAAGCCGCAGCATAAATCCATAGCCCAGGCACAGTTGGATGAAGCCTAATTGCATCAACCAGGGCCTATTCAAGCAGCATTAACAACAGCAACAACAACAACAACAACAACAAAATATTACTACACAAGAATCAAAAAACAACATTTGAAAAGGGTATTACCCTTAGATTAATGCACACAAATGGCAATGATAGAAACACAAACATTAATTAATATGTAATTATGAATGTAAATGCAATCTACCTTCTTTAATCTACCGTTCTTTCGCTCTCTGCAGAACTCCAAATACTGAAACCAGAGCTCAATATCCCCCTTGAACTTAGTGGTAGCCACGCGATAAAGCTCCACAATCCTTGTCACGCCGGAGTAATCAGAAACCGATTTCTTCGCCTTGGTGTATCTGCCCTGTTTCACCCGGGCTTTCTTACGGAGGAGGCGGAGGGCGTCGAGCTGCTTCTCGTAGTCGATGTAGGCCGTGAAATCCGATTTCAGCGGACTGTGCCTCTTCAGCCGGTACTCGAACTTGCGGCGCTGTTTGACGATCTCGGCTATCTCGGCGCGGCTGAACAGCCCGCGTTTGTGCAAGTCCTCCACCTCCGGGAGGATCCGCTCCAGCTTGTACTGCACTACATCCGCCATGTCTCCCTTCCGTTTCCGATTCCTCCTCTTCTCTTTCGGACAATATTGAAGAAAAAACGACGAGAAAGCGAGAGAATATCGGAATTTCTGTGCTCTGTGAATACGTGGTGTTGCGGAACAACGGCGGCGACGACGGTGGAAGAGGAGATTTTACTGGGGTTTTGGGCTAATTTTGGGCCGGACTGTTGTGGGCTAATAATAAGCTATAGCTGGGCCGAAAAATCAGAGTCCGTGGTGGTACATTATTTATTTTAAAGTAAAATAATACTCATTCTTATACAAAATATAAGTGTTTATCTTGATATAACGTATGCCCCGTTCCGTTCAATTTATTTTTTTTTATTTTTTCCTTTTCCTATTAAAATCAGATTAGACCAGATCAAATCTAATCAGATCAGATCAGACCAGATCAAATCTAATCAGGAATTACTATTATTATACTCTTTCCGTCCCAATGTATTTGTCCAATTTGACTTTTTTGAGTCAAACTGGACAAACTTTGAGCTTTAATTTAAGAAAAACTGTAATGTATTTTAACATAAAAATGACTTTATTGGATTTATCGTATTCAGAACTTTCAAAATTGTATTTCATTATACTAATATGCAATATAAATTGAGATTAATTGAAGTCCAAAGTTTATTCAGTTTGACTTGAAAAAAGTCAAACTGGACAAATACATTGAGACGGAGGTAGTATTTATTATTACTAGTATTATAATTGTTGTTGTTGTTGTTGTTGTTAATATTAAAAAATGCAAAAGAATAAACTTTAGAAACAAGTTAAATAGAAAATTGAGAAAGTAATCCTTAATTATTAGACGCCGGAAAAATTATTTTTAAAATACACTGACAATGTCAATCTAATTCTACTTTTAAAATACGCTTTTATTGCTACCTATAATTTGAGTTTCTAAAGTTTTGATCTTTTACTACATCGAGTTGATCAACTTTGATCATACAATTAATATTTGATATTCATATACAGAGTATATTTTAGTGTAACTGAAATAACTATTATATCTATGGTGTTATATTAATCATAAAAAAAGTTTCGTATTATAAAGCACACGCTGATATTTTATAAGGATGAGATATTTTAATAAAAATATTATTTCTTCTCTATATTGATTATCTAAATATAATTACTTTTTAATATATATATGAATTAAATATTTATTCTAATGTATATATGAACTAATTATTAAAATATTATATCAATATTCTTATTTCATAAAAAATAATCATAAAATAAAAAATATAATTACATTTTAATATTATGAGTTATTATTCTAATATATGAATTAACTAATTTTATTTCATTAAAAAATAATCATAAAATAAAAAATATTGATTATATTATAATATGAATTATCATTTCAATTTTCAAACGTTATTATAAAATCAAATTAAATTATTGATTTGAATTTTAAATCAAAACATAATTAATCAGATCAGATCCGACCAGATCAGATGAGATCCAATTAGATCATACCAGACTAGATTAGATTAGAACTACAAAAAATCAGATCAAATCAGAAAAAATAAGTTGAACAGAATGGATAATACAATACTTGTTCTGAAATAATATAGTATTCATTTTCACATATTTGTTCAATACAATTATAATATTCATTTACGAATAATGTGGTGCTAGTTCTAGGACAAAGCGGTACTCATTCTGAAATAAAGTAATATTTATTCTCATTTAATTAACGTACTGTTCATTCCACGTTTAATTCCACGTTATGAGTCTTGTTGGAACCCTTCTTGGTCTTCATCATAAAACACTCAAATTAGTGAATCCGCAACTTCTGCCGCCACCTAAGTTTTCACGGCCGCCATGACCGCGCTGCCCCCTGGTGTCGTTGATATGGTTTGCTACCCTCGCGATATGCACTGCTACTTTGTCGATCCAGCGCGTTGCCCATCTCTGATCCTCAATTTTTTTTACTTTTCTTTAATTTACGTGTAAAGTCAAATCAAGAAAATTATTTAATTATTTTTAGACGAAAGAAATATAATTAGATCAAATCAAAATTTAATTTAATGAGACTACAACTAACCCCCAAAAAAATTGCAAAATATAGCGTGGGGGCATGGCATTTTTTTTTGAGAGGGGGGCATGGCATATTGGCACCTTTGGCTCCTTAGTGTTTTCCAAGAAAAATGGCTGCACGATGGCACACAGCTTCAGTCCCGTGTCTCCTCTGACAACTCACGAGCTTTCCATAACACACTCCATTATTGGGATTTATTGCCTCTTCCTTTCTATCTCTCCCTCCCTCTCCCTCTCCCAAACACATTCTCCTCTGTATTTCTTTCCTTTCTTTCTGGGCTTCTTTCCCAGTGCTTCTTCACACACGTCTTCAAGACGCCATTGTTGTGAACCAGAGAGAAAGTGGCTGAACTGGTAATAGATAGAGGATGAAGACAGGCTACATAAGTTCACACTTTCTTGTTATGGGTGTCTTGGGAGTGATATTCCAACTCTTTGGGGTGAATGGTGACAACCCTTACAGATTCTACACCTGGAAAATCACTTATGGTGACATTTACCCTCTGGGTGTCAAGCAACAGGTGGTGATTTTGATTTTTGTAGATTCTTTGATTCTTGGGATGAATAAATATTGAATCTTTTTTCTATATGTTGCAGTAAATATTTTTTTTTACTTATTTCTTGTTCTTTTGCAGGGAATCTTGATAAATGGGCAGTTTCCAGGTCCGCAGATTGACTGTGTCACCAATGACAATTTGATTATCAGTGTTTATAACTACTTGAATGAGCCATTTCTCATTTCTTGGTATGGATTTTCTTTTTTGTTTTTTAATGCCTTGATTTTTTGGGAGGTTTGAGTTAATCTTTGCATAATTCTGTTTGGCAATCCATTTCAAGTCAAAACATGAATTTTTGAATAAAAAATTGAGCTGTGGGTAGTTCAAGATTGTAGCTGTGGGTTCAATGATTTATGAAATGATTAATTACAACTCTTGTCTCTTGTCATTTTGTGGTTTTCCATTCCAAAAAAACTTTATCTACTTTTTCTTTTTTGGAGGACTTAAAAACACTCTCCATTTACTTTATTTTCTGTTTTGGTAATGAATAAACAAATTCTAACTATACATTTTACGGAGTATATTTTTTAACATTTTTAAACTCCGTGAAAGTCAAATAGTGAAAGTTTTTTTTTTGGATGGAAGGAGTACAACATATTAAGCAACAATTTGTAATTTGACTATAATATTTGTGACATTTTCTTATGATATTTTGGCATTTCCCTGTTTTATAAACAAACAAAACAGCCATCAACAGTTCAACTAAGAATCACATTCACTCCTCCAAACAAAGAATCACATCCTCTCCATATCCTTAAAGCCATTTCTGGAAATGATTGATTTTTTCTCCAAAAATAGTTCAAGAAGAGTTATATTCTTTGCACACTCCATTTAAAGTGATAAATCCAAGTTAGGGGTTTGTTTTAAGGCATCATTGAAGTGACCTTTTTGAATGCTCTTTTTGCTCTATTGATTTCATTGTGTAGTTAGGTACATAGCTCATAGCCTTTCAAATGTTCACAATTGTTCACAACTTTATGAAATGCCCATTTTGACCCTCAGGAATGGGTTACAACAGAGGAGGAACTCGTGGCAGGACGGGGTTTATGGCACAACATGTCCCATTCCTCCGGGCAAAAACTTCACATATATGCTCCAAGCAAAGGATCAGATAGGCAGTTATTTCTACTTCCCATCCCTTAGAATGCACAAGGCTCTTGGAGGGTACGGTGCCCTACGAATCTATAGCCGCCCCCGCATCCCCGTGCCTTTCCCTACACCTGCTCGCGATTACACTGTCTTAGTTGGAGACTGGTTCAAGAAGAGTCACAGGGTAAGCACTTTATCGCCTTGATGTTGTAATACACACACACACACACATTAGTAGACAATATCATACTAATGTGGAGTTGAGGTGACAGCAGACACACTTAACATGACATATATGCATTTAAGACCGCGATAGATGATCTGAAATGTGATTTGTTTTGTTTCGATTTGCAGCAATTGGTGTATATTCTTGATAGTGGCCATAGCCTTCCCCTTCCCGATGGGCTTATAATCAATGGCCGTGGATGGAATGGATATACATTTATCGTCGATCCAGGTCTTAGAATCCCCAAACTTTTTTTCCCTTCAATGTAGGACTTTTATATCCCCAAAGTGTAATTTGGGTCTTTTTGTCTTAAGAATGATGAGATTCCATTTCAAAATCAATTGACAATTCGACGAATAACTCATGTTCTTATATATTGAGACTTTATACCTTCAACATTTGGCATTAACATTATTGTTAACAAATGCACCATTCTCTAGAGCTAATCACAAATTTTGTCCCCTGACAACTAAAGAATCAGCAAAAACGTGCAGGCAAGACTTACAGGATGAGGATATCAAACGTGGGAGTGGCAACTTCTATCAACTTCAGAATAGAAGGGCACGTGATGAGGCTGATAGAGGTGGAGGGGTCCCACACGCTGCAGACGGCGTTCAGTAACCTGGACATCCACTTAGGGCAGTCCTATTCGGTCCTAGTGACAGCTGACCAGCAGCCCAAGGATTACTACGTGGTGGCTTCTTCGCGGTTCACCTCAAGGGTCCTGACCACAACCGCCGTCCTCCACTACAGTAACTCCTTTCTGGGTGTCTTTGGCCCTCCCCCCAGAGGGCCAACCACCCAAATTGCCTGGTCCCTTAACCAGGCAAGATCCATCCGGTTAGTTAACTCTCTCTTGTTAAACTTTCATCTTTCCCCTTTTTTTTACTACATTTGTTTGTGGTTTTCTTTTAAAAAAAACCAACTCAGCAAAAAGCTCGAGACTGTGGTTGTAGGTTTTGGAAGATTTGTATACTCTAGGAGTCTTATATCTTGGTTTATACTCCCTCCGTCCCTGAAAACCTTTCTCCTTTCTTTTTTCATCCGTCCTAAAAAGCACTTCTTTTTTCTATCAAAAAATCACTTTTACCCCTTACTTTTTCAAACCCTACCTATCACATCATACCTTTTTACTAATAATCTACTTATCAAATCCTACTTTTACCCATCACATCAAAGGACATTTTTGGAAATTCAATACCAGAATACACTCTCCTTAAATCTCTTCAAAATCAAAACATCCCGTGTTTAAAGGGACGGAGGGAGCATCTTGGTAAAGTTTGCGTACCCACGTCCTTCCCAGACTCTATTTTGTGGAAATCTTCCGAATGTGTTGTTTGTATTTTTATTTGGACTTGACGAACAAGTTTTCGTTTGTCAAACCAGATGGAACTTGACGGCAAACGGGCCCCGACCAAACCCGCAAGGCTCGTACCATTATGGGATGATCAAACCTTCGCGCACAATCATGCTGGCAAACTCTGCCCCTTACGTCAATGGAAAGCAAAGGTACGCGGTCAATGGGGTGTCCTATGTGAATCCGGACACGCCATTGAAGCTCGCGGACTACTTCAAGATTGGGGGTGTCTACAATCTGGGAGGCATCCCCGACTTCCCCCGCGGTGGGGGGGCATACATTGCCACTTCAGTTATTGCTGCAGATTTCAGGTCCTTTGTGGAGATTGTTTTTCAGAACTGGGAAGACACTGTCCAGTCTTGGCATATTGATGGATATTCCTTCTTTGTTGTCGGGTATGACGATAAAACACTTCCATGCTCATTTTTTTTATATGCCACACTGTCTGAATTTAGTTGTCCACTTTCTTGAAAAAATGCCTCCCAAAGTTTCATTTTCCAACAATTGGCTTCTTAAAACTAGAATCACTTTCCAATTACTTTTTTTTTCCATTTGCGTTTGATTATCGTAGAATGGACGGGGGACAATGGACCGAGGCGAGCAGGGTGCAGTATAACTTGAGAGACACAGTTGCGCGTTGCACGGTTCAGGTACAAACACCACATATTATGGGTCTCTTCAAAACTATGTTTGCAATATCCTCAAACTCATGGAATGAATGTGGACATGCATCGCGTCTACATTCATTCGACTTTTGATGCATCACAAAAGTCATAATGACTTGTTCGAATGTGAATGGAAGGAGCGGCATGGTTGTTCTAACAGAGTATGTTTGGGTGTGTGTGTGTGTTTTAGGTGTACCCGAGGTCGTGGACAGCGATATACATGGCATTGGACAACGTAGGGATGTGGAACGTCCGATCCGAAGAGTGGGGGAGGCAGTATTTGGGACAGCAGTTCTACCTTAGGGTCTACACTCCATCAACCTCTTATAGGGATGAGCTCCCAATCCCCAAGAATGCCCTTCTTTGTGGTAGGGCCATTGGCCATCGCACGGGCACCAACCCTTCCTTTTTAGGACACCACCACCCATAATGTCCTCCCGCATGTCTTTTGTCAAGATACTCCTGTGTTTTCTTATAGCTCAACTCGAGCTGTTGTTTTTTTTAAAGGCTGGGAATAGACATTTTGGGTAGTTTTTTATGGTGTAGATTACACAATATTGTCATTAGATAGTCTTTTGAAAACACTATATAGCTACTGGTTTAGATTGTTTTTAAACAGACACCAAATTAAACATGTTTAGGAACACTTTTTTTTAATGTTTTGTGGGAATGAGGTTAGTGAGGTTTTAATTTGATGATGTTTTGAGAGGCAAACTGCTAATGATGCTCATTCCTAAATTCATAACCATTTTGAGGGCATTTGAACTTACTTTTGGCGAGTTAATCAAATTGTTAAGGTCTGATGGTACATTTAAAACTTAGATTTTACATTCTAACAGAAAAGCTGAAGCTAAGAAACATATTAAATTTTTTCTGAACTTTTCTGGATTCTAAAATAAATACTTTTGCTGAAAACTAAATCAATTTCATATATGGTGCTATTAACATGAAATTTAATTGCTTGAGAAAATTAACCAATTGGATCTATATATATGGTGCTATTATTATACCGGGAGTAGTTTTTTATATATGCTTTTGCATGTAGTCTTGGGGGAGAATTAATTAGGTCTGTCATTAAGTTGTGATGGGTAATGTAAATTTGCAATTGAATTGCATGCAGTTAGCATGCACAAACTCACCAAAGAATTAACCTAATTACTCTCTCATCCTAATCTACTTCTCAACACAAATCAACTACTTCCTCCTTTGCCTCTTATTAAGTTAAAAAATGAAAAATAAAATTGTATAGTAAAAGGAGAATTTTTTTATTCACATATTCTTTTTTAAAAAAAGAAAATAAAGTGAATAGAAATATTTTTGCAACATCCAAAAAATAATACTCCCTCTATCCTGAAATTAATTTCTCAGTTTTATTTTTGAAGTCAAACTATTTAAATTTTGATCGCATATTAAAAAAATACATTGAATTTTCATATACATTTTGTATCAATATATTCAATCTTTTTGGAACATAGTTTTAAAATATACTCCGGGTATTATTTTTATTATATATATATATATATATATATATATACATATATATAAAGATATAAAGATATAAATGATTGAAGTGTTGCATTGGAAACTCTGAAAATTGAAATGTCAAATAAAGAATTAATTTTAGGATTTGAGAAGTATCATTTTCCATCCATTCTCCCCATCTCCCCATCTCTATAAATCTCATCACATTGTCATCTCATATTTGTCATCCAAAAACACCATAAATTTCTCTATAGCTAATATTTAATTAGTATAATCATCCATAATGGAAAAAGATAATCACAATAAGATTATTCTTCTTTTGGTTCTTGCCACAACCACTTGCATCGCCGCCGCAGAGATGGAGAAGGAGCTGACCGGTGGCGGCAAAGTACACGAAATGTTCTTCCGCCACCGCGTCTTCCCTCCCTACCTCGGCGGAATAGGATTTGGCAGGGGACCAGGTTTCTTCCCCGGGGGTGGTTCTGGTGGAGGGTTTGGAAGCAGAGTAGGGAGCGGTGGTGGTGGTGGTTCGGGTATTGTGGGCAGCATTGGGCAAGGAGGTGGTTCCGGCATCGGAGGGTCGTCAGGTGGTGAGGGTGGCGGTAGGTTTTACCGTGACCGAGCCGCCGACCCCGGGGCTCACACAACTAGTGTTAGCGGTAGAGGTGGAGATGCCACGGCGGCGGCGGCTGAGGCAAAAAATGACGTTGCTGGTCCTATGCCTTGACCGGCTGCAATAATTCATTTTCTTTTATACTCTATCCGTTTCTTATAACCCTTCCTCTTTCATTTTTTTTTTGTTTTTCTTAAAACACTTCTCATTTCTATTAAAAAACTATTTTTACCTCTACTTTTTCATACCCTACCTATCACATCATACTTTTTCACTAACAACTAAACTATCACATCTTACTTTTACCTATCACATCAAGGGCAAAATTGAAAAGTCAACTACAATTTAATACTTTCTTATTTTTCCCAAAGTCAAAAAAGGAACTCTTTTAAGAAATAGAGATAGTATCAACTAACATCATACCTGTGCGATGCACGGGGAGCATTTCGTTATTATATTTATCATTATTTAAAATTTAATTAAGAGCGTAATTCATGAAGATAACAAATTTAATTATATACCTTATGATGTAGGAGTATTACAATTAAGAATAGATTCCCAAAAGAGTTTTCACTAATAACGTGTTTTTCTAAATTAATAATATATAATTTTTAACTACCTAAGTGATCGTTTATAATTGGAATTTATTCAATACTGTAGCTTGTTCTTTTTGCTTTGTATATACTAAGATACGTAGTATTTGTAAATAATGTTATTCAAAAAAGAATGAATTAGGAACTATTTTGGTATTTTTTTTACTCCATGCCTACTAATTATAGAAAAAGTTCTTAAAATGATCAATTCTAATGAAATACTTTCCGGAAATAAGTTTTTGTAAATAAAAAATGTATATTTGATTCGATTTTTTTAAAAAAATTATAGGCTTTTAATTATTTATGAATTATGTATAGTCTATGCATTGTTTAAATTTTATATTTAATTGTATAGAAATGATCATTTTGAGAATATACTTTGAATTTAGATGATAGAAATGTCATAATATCATTTACTTAATCATCATTTGCATAATATTATTTATGAATGACTACATCAGAAATAAATCTCAATTATTAAGAACCACATAAAATTAGAATATTTTTAGAATTGAATTGAAAAAAATACATTACTATACAATTTTTTTGATAATTTACTTATTAATGAGATAAATATATAATTAATAGTGTGTGAAGTTGTCATTGACAATGATGTGTTCACCTCAAACTTATTTACGCTACTACTCCCTCCGTCCTATAATGATCTTCCCGGTTCTGTTTACGAAGTTTGACTGACTTTATTTTTAATTCAATTTATTTGATTGTAGGTGTAAAATTAAAAAATAAAATATATATATTTAAAACTACATCAAAAGTTCTACAAAACAAGTGGTGACAAGACTATATTGTTTTATCAAATACCTAATGAAAATACGTAAATAAAGTGATTAAAGTTTGACCGTGTGAATAGTAAGTGGGAAGAACATTTCAGGACGGAGGGAGTAATTTATACATCAATAATGTCCTATTTGTTATAACTAAGAAAAATGTTGATGAAATAATTAAGTTTTACTTATTAAGTTTTTAAATTCTTTTAATTATAACAAAATTGGTAAAAAAATTTACTCTGACATCGGACGGGTACAAATCTAGTTACATCAAAAGATCTACAAAAGTAATGGTGATATGACCATATTATTAGTCATAGAAAATAAAAAAATTACTCACACAAATAAAAAAAAGAAAGTGAATGAAGTTTGACCATTGAGAATATTTTACATACATGTTCATTTGAGAAGGAAGAAGTAAATTAGGTTCATATAATTTTTTAATGTTTTTTCGGCCCAAAAATACTCATCTAATAAATATACTTTCAGGTCAAACTTATCTAATAAATATATATCGTACTTTTTAGATCAAACCCTTAAAAAATAACACTGTTCCTGCTTCTCTTTGTTTTGTACTCCGTATATAGTAAGATACGATTCTACAAAAAATTTCATTTTAATTATTTGAATGCTTGTTTCACATAAAATTTATTACTCTTTCCGTCACAAATTAAATATCTGTTTATTATTCATATATAAAAACTTAATTTTTTTACTAATTTGATAAAATAAAACAATTAGTCATAGATTTTTTTATGTAATCATAAGTAAAACATTAAAAATAGTTGATCAAAAAATCAAGAAGAAAAAAAAAACTCACTTTTACCACTATTATTTTCCCTGCCAACTATTCATAAAAACTCTCCCGGTCCATGAAATTTCTCATCCGGCGCAAATTATTTTCCCAGCCCACTATTCATATAAAACCTATTTGTCTAAACCTACATTTCATTCTACAATTCCGCCGCTAACCTCTCTTTCTCGGATCGAGCTCGGCCTTCATCTCTTTGTCGCGCGCATCCGTCTATCCGTAAGATCTCCCTCTCTCGATCGAGCTTCGTCTTCATCTCTTTTCGCCGAGATACTCACTTTAAATATACTATATTCCTTTATTCATTGCGGTGCGACTCGATCCCGGTGGTAGAAAGCTCTGAAGAGCGCAGCTGCTCAAACCCTACCGCTTCGAAAAAAGGAACGGACGATCGCCGCTGCCGCAGGCCATATATATCGACACAAATCCGGCGAACTCTGCCGGGAGCCAAGCTGATACCGCGATTCCTTTCAACTCTGTGAAGGTGATCTTTTTTTCTCTCTCATGAGTTATCCAGTTTTCGAATCCTACACTGATTTTACGGTTTTACTGTTTCTATGCGAAGGATGTAGCAATAGTGGCTAAATTTTGAGAATGTTTCACTGGACTCTACTGAAACGTTTGCATTCGTGACTTGTTGGCTAAAGAAATCTACCTAAAACAATGCATATTATGTTTTACCCCTAAACAGGAGTGTTAGCTGAAACCCCTAAAATTTGGCATAATGTGTTGGTATTTTACATTGTTTTTCGGCATTGGTATTATAACCCATAGTTTAGTACTCCATCCATTCACCAAAACGGTTCTTACTTAGACAAATGGGAGAAATTACGAGTGTATTTGTAGCATAGTTATTAATGGCACTTGCCAATGGTGCAGCGGTGTGCAGTTTCTGTCCTTATTGACTTTGGTGTGGCATTTTAGGCATGGCGCGCCAGAAGCGGTCGCCATTTATGCTTCTTTTTCTGGCGAGAGATGAAAGCAGACTACGCTTTTCGTGTGGTCCACAAAATTGCGATCTGAATTCTACAATTCAAGGATTGTGTGGACCGAACAACGATCTGAATCACGAGGAAAATTGGAAAACCATATGATCTTTCCGGACCGGCAAGTTCCGACGATCCTGAGATCGTATAGGCTCGTGATCGACTGAAAAGACTTTAGGTCAAGTCTGCGACCCTTTGGTTTTGATGGAGATCTTCGCGACCAGTCTCGCTCCTTTCCCCTTTCACTTTAATTTCACTTTAAAATTACGGAGTACTATTTACGAAGTTGTGTGATTATTTAATTAAAAACATACTCCCTACTCCCGCATGTGTTCTGCTTGGTAGAATGGTAGTCCACTCTTTCCATATAATCTCTCTAAAAAAATATTTTCGTCTTTTTTATTTTTGGTCAACTTTGCACATTTTCACTATTAATAAATTTCTGTATAATTTCACATACTAGTAAATTTCTGCACATACATATATGTGTGTGAGTGTATGTATGTATGTATGTATGTATGTATGTATGTATGTATGTATGTATGTATGTATGTATGTATGTATGTATGTATGTATGTATGTATGTATGTATGTATGTAGGTA